ACAACCAGCCACAGGACCCTTCCTGTGTCGTCGAGGGGATCAAGTTAAATGCCCTCTACAGGCCAGAGGAGACAACCTAGCAAACCATGACACAATCGTTTTCATTTTCTATGATTGAAGAATAGAAAGTCCCCAAATCTTTGAACTACAAATTAGAGGAAAGAGTTGTAAATCAACGAAGGGAAGAGGAGCAAAAAGCATTTCCCCTACTCTAACAAAAGGTAAGTAGTTAGAGTCATGAAGAGAAGGAACACACCTTTGACTTAACTCGCCTCTCTCTCTCTCTCTCTCTCTCTCTCTCTCTCTCTCTCTCTCTCTCTCTCTCTTTCTCTCTCTCTCTCTCTCTCTCTCTCTCTGTCTCTCTCACTCTGTCACCCAGGCTGGAGTGCAGTGGCATGATCATGCTCACTACAGCCTCCTGGGCTCCAGTAATTCTCCTGTCTCAGCCTCCCAAGTAGCTGGGATGCAGGCATGCACTGCCATGCTTGGCTAATTTTTATTTTTATTTTTTGTAGAAACGAGTTTCACTATGTTGCCCAGGCTGGTTTTGAACTGCCTGGTAATTCTCTGGTAATTCTCTGCCTTGATTCTCTGGTAATTCTCAGGTAATTCTCTGCCTTGATCTCCAGAAGTGCTGGGATTAGAGGCAAGAGCCACCACTCCCGGCCCATAATTTTTATTCTGATGTTATTAAAGGAAAGTTATCAGTGGTACATGGAAGTATAAATCCATATTTTGAAATCCTTTTTTTGTCGTTGCTTACAGAAGACAACAAAGAAAGAATCTCTTATCAGAAATGTACGAAAAAGAAAGCCAGTTCCTGGGAAATACCTTTACCCATCAGTAAAGAAATTGACTTATGGAAACTACAAATGGAATGAAGAGCTGGTCAATGCTGTGCCCTGGGAGAAAGGTAAGGTGCTTCCACGTGTGGCCTTCATACAAACTTCAGTATGTAAAAACTCGGGTACAAAAAGTACATAGAATTGTTTTCTTTGGTCTTTGTCCAGAGGATTTAGGGCCTGTAAAATGTGGAAGGCATGATTTTTGCATGGGCCATTTTAGTATTCATGTCTCCTGTACTGCTTTGTAATAAGTGAAGATGCAACAGGAGACTGCGTGCAGGAGTGAGCGATGCAATAAAGCAGTCCTGAAAAATAAAAATGAACAAAAGTGCATCTCGACTTCCCTTCTGTTATTAACAGGTGAGAGAGCAAAAATGTCAATCATATTGTTATTACTTAACACTTCACATCTAAAAAGGATTTTACAGACATTTTTACACGTTATTTTTCAATACTATTCTGATAACAGGCTGGGGAGCTCTTCAGTATTCTTAACACGAGTTTTAGAATGATATCTATAACAATCTTTCCAAAAAGGAAGGTAAACACGCAGTCTGTGCCAGTATCTTACCAAAGTATTCTTTCATAAGTGAGCAAGCCTGTTTCCTTTGCTGTTGGATAGGCCAAACCACTGGCTGGCTGATTATTTGAATTCTGTTTTCTTTCTGTTTCACAGACCCACTTTTTCACCCCTACCCACTTCCACTCCATTTAATTTGTTATTATTTAAGCATATTCCTTAAATAATTGTGTTCCTAAAATATAAATGACACAAGATAAGATCTAAAGAAAACCGTGGCTGATGTTCCTTTTCATTCTCGTTTGATATAATGTGTGTAAATGGTGTGGCTCCAGGAGGGGTACCTGTGCTCCTGCCTGAGGGATGGCATCTTTCTAAGAGAAGCACATTTGTGAGGGATGCTGAGAAACGTTTGCTCAACATAAGTGGGCAAAGTGTGCTAAGATTCACACACTAGCTACTGTCAGGTTTTAGGTATTTTTAGTTAATTTGTTAGTTAGAGTGGAGAAAGTAATTTAATAAGTGAGCAGACCTCAAACAGGGGATGTCTCCTATTCTAAACTGCCATCCTCACCTCTCTAATAAATTAGCTTAGCACTTCCCCTGGGGGGGAAAACAAAAGCCAGTGGAAAGTTCTGGAATCCCTAATGTTTTATTGGATTTTTGGAGAATCTGGATTTTTCCTATAATGATAAGAAACATTTCTTCATTTCTATTTCATGGCCCAAATAGTATGGGAATCTGTCTGTTACCTGACTTATTTATTCAGTTTTGCAAAATAAGATGTCTTAATTAAAAAAATATGAACCAACAGCAGCAAGTATCCAGATAAACTGTTTAAAGTTCTTCAAAAAATGTGAAAAATGTGCCTTCGCTTGGGACCATGTATTCACAGCCTAGCAGGTAACAAACTATTTTTTAAAAGTAAAAGTCCCAGTGAACGATGAGTATCAGTATGGTAGACATTTACTTCAAAGCTATGAGTATGTCTGAGTATAGAAAAAAGGTTCAAGATCTTTAAATATACTCTCATTATAAGAACATTTCTCTCTATATACATTAATTTCTTTAATTCCTTCCATTTTAAATCTAGTGAATTGAGTCAACATATAGCCTTTTATCTTTACTTCTTCACCTGTAGATTACTACATCTAACATGAAAATTACAAAAATAGGCTCCCTGTTCCACAGGGTGGGTTGAAGCGGTAAGTCTGTTGCAGTGTTACTTATCTCCTCTTGCATGGAGTACTTGCAAAGACTGATGCCTCTAAGGTATAAAGGCACAGTGCTTGTGCTAATGTTGGCAGTGGTGTTACAATACCAGCAATAGTATCTGCATTGTCTTGAGTGCATGCTATATGTTAGATGATTTATAAACATAATTTTATTTTTAAAAATACTCAAATGACCCAGACAAAATGAAAAAAACTATTACTCAGAATATTTATATGACCCGTTCAAAGTCTTAGCTGTGGGTCTGCACCCAAGCCTGTCTGATTCAAAGTTTGTGTTTTCTTATCACATCTCTCCAAGTAGAGAGTTAAATCAAGCAATACGAAAACTTTAAGTATAGTGAACATATGTTCCAGTCTATACCTGTTGTCCTGGCATAATTAATAGATCCATCTTTTATGCTTAAAAGAGTCTCAGGACAAGTTTGAGGATCAACCTATCTCTGAGCAAGGCTTAAAATGAAGATAACACTTCTCAGAGTATTGTAATTAATCTTTTTTGCCTTTACAGAGGGGTTTTAAGCAAGTAACACATTGGACCTAGCTTGGTGTACTTGGAAAACAGATGAATTTGCGAATGAACCTCATTTACTGGTTGGGTCTAATCTCTCCCTGCCCCTTACCCTCTGGTTTCCTGTCGCCTCTCTCATTGAGAATCTTTTGTCCTTCCTCTTTTCTCTCTTCTCCTCCTAGTCTCCATGTTTCTTTTTATGGAGGCTTTCTCTATTGATCAAGTGTCAAAAAATGGATTCTTTGGTTTTGCTTGAGCTTTAATTTTTGATGAATCTTTAAAATACAGCTTGGCCGGGCTCGGCGGCTCAGCCTGTAATCCCACGCCTTTGGGAGGCTGAGGTGAGTGGATTGCCAGAGCCCGCGGGTTCGAGACCCGCCTGGGCAGCGAGACCTCATCTCTACAATAAATAAAAAAAAATTAGCCGGGTGTGGTAGCGCGTGCCTGTAGTTCCAGCTACTCGGAAGGCTGAGGTGGAAGGATCGCCGGAGCCCAGCAGGTCGAGGCTGTGTGGCCGGGAGCGGCCACTGCACTCCAGTCTGGGCGACAGAGTGAGACTCCAACTCAAAAAATAAAAAATAATAAAATAAAATATAGCTTGGTAACTCACTTGGATGTTTAAACCACTGTTAATGGTTTAAAAGTGCCAAAAAGAGAAATAAACATCATTTTAAGACATCACTAACTTATTTTTCTTTCTTCTTTCTCTTTAATCTCGTTGCTACTATTCCACTACTTCCTTACTACAACTGTAGTGTATTGGTGTCCAGGGAGCTTTCTCGTTGCAGTTCCTGGACGAGGCTACTGCAGGTTTCGCTGGGGTAAGCCAGATCCAAAATGTATAATTTCAAGCACCACCTCACATGTCTCTGCCCCTCTTCTGCTCTTATGGGCAAACTGTTGTCCTGTTTCTATTATTTTTAAAGGGCTTTCAGGAAGAGGAATGGAAATGACTTTTAAAAAATAAACCTGATAAAATATATAACTGTTTCAAAGACACACGCAGTAAGAAAATCTAACTTTCGCTTTAGTCAGTTTTAAATGTATGGGTTTGATTTATGGATCCAAATTGCTCATTTATTATTTTATCTATACAGCTCTGGGCAATTTTGACAGTTAAAATTTAGTTTTATTGACCAGTGCAGCCACTGTGCCCACGAGGGGACTGGTACACACAGCCTGCTGCACTCAAGAAACAATGATTTTTGATTCCATGAGTGAGTCCGATTGGGAATCATAACCGATATAACAATAAGTTCCAAATCTCAGTGCCCAAGGCAAGAGGTTTGCTGTAAAACACAATCACCCTTTAAGGAGGGGAGGAGAAGAATCCTGGGTAGAAGTTTGCAAGCACAATTGGATGCGGCTGAGATCGGCCACAAATATATCTGTCCATCCAAACTGTGCAGCCGTAGAAGGGGGCGTTTCTCTATAGACCTTGCTCCACAGACTAAAGATTACTGAGCAAAAATGCCTAAAAAGCAAAATAAATGTTAGTTACAGAGACAGGGAACTAAACAACCATTTTGATGTGAGAAAACTGACTCGTGCTCTGAACCAACCTTTTACCTTTCAACCAATGCAAAAATAACAGGAATTTTGAGGGAAAGATCTTTGCTCTTCCCACACTCCTCATTGCAACACACACAGAGACATAAACCAGTACAGTGACTTTAGGCCAGTTTTAATTTAGGCCTATTCAACTACCAGATTGGCCACCTCTGCAATGTTAATTTAGTCTTTTACTCGAAATCCCGCATGATCCATAAACAAACCTCCAAAGGGGAACAAATCAATAAAACGTCTAATTTGATTAACCATGTTTTCGAATTCATCAAGACAGCTCTAACCCGAAATAAATAGGTGAGTAAATAAATAAAGAACGCACTCACTTGTGAGTATTTTCCACGTCTTCTTTTCATCATCGTAATATTGAACCAAATTGCTGGGGAGCCGGTCCGGTCCGGGGGGCAGTCCTCCAACCAATAACAGCATTTTCTTGTTAGAGCGAATTCTTCACCCAAAACAAAAGAGGAGATGAATAACCACATTATTGTCGAGCCTTTTTTAGTGGCAACGAAATCATAACCATCAAAAGAATGTTCCTTGCTTGCAGATTTCTATTTCATTTTTTTCTGTTTCTTCTCCCATTCATGTCTCACCAATTTTTTTGAAGCGAGCAGAAAAATGATCAGAAGAGCTGCACATCCCCATACTCATAGAATAATAAGCTCCCTTTATGCAATTTGTTAGAGGTTCATTCTAGAACGACCTTTTTCTTATATTATCCCTTTAAATCATCACTCTTTACAGCTGAGTACACATGAAATGCTCTGGAGTTGTACTAAGGTTAAGCATTAAAGTTGCATGTCAAAAATCGTATTAGTCAAAATCATTATTATAAGCCATTCTCCACTCAAAGAACCTTGAAAAAATTAAGGTTATGCAGAGAGTTTGTGAGCCAACTCTTTAATCACCCAGGGAACTTCAAATACCAGTTTGGTACAATTAGTAGCACAGGGCTAACTGGGGTGGGTGAACCAGTTTGAGCATGCATGTGTGTGTTTGTTTAATTTAGCTTAGACTTCTGCCTTCTCCCCCTCTCCCCCACTCCCAGCTCACCCTCCCCTCTGCTCTCCCCCTGTGCACCACTGGCGATATAGCAGCACCAATTGGTAAAAATGAGACTGTGATGTTGTTGTGAGCCTCCCCAGAGTGGAGCCCTGCCAATGCTTGCCACTGATCCAGCGGCATGAACCTGCTCAACTGTGCAAAGTCACTCTAATTCCCTCCCTCTGTTTTTCTACCTTCTCCCCCAGGGGGCAACCACTGAAAAGAGTGACTACCCACCCATCAAGAGCTGGCAATTCGCTGCTATTAACCGTGACTGTGATTCCCAGTCTGCCTGGCAGTTCCTGAGAACAGGCCCGCAACGTCTCATATGCAGTAAAAGCTGTAAGATGCACCCTGGCCGGCACACTCGACCTGATGGATGTACAATCCTCGGGAACAGTAATGGATTGAGCACACTTGCGATTGAAGCAGGGAGAGGTGGCCCAGACCCCCACAAGGGGCCTGCTGATTTAACAGTCACTTTACATATAATTGAACTTTTCATTTACCTGAAAGGCTCAAGGTGGTGGCAGAAGAAACTGAACAATGGTTGAAGGAAAAAAGTCAATAAATACAAAAGGGTTCCTCTTAGATGTGATCATGACTCACAGTGTGATTCTGAATCTGTGATTCCATATTCAGCTCGTTCTGATTCAGGGATGCCTGGTGGAATGTGCCCTTATGGAGAAGCGTTGTTTGTTGGTTAAGAACCTAACATTCGGAGAGTTAACTTAATACAGTTAATGGCATTTCCATGTGAAGAAAGGGAACAAGAGAATTCCTTTAATGAAACTCTAGTGCCACTGAATGCACAGTACAATATGCCTCAGTAGAAAAATACCTTCTGGAGAAACTCCTGTGTTGGAGACTGCTCGACAGAGGGAGCTGTACTTGTAGAAGAATGCCTGATGTGATAGCAGCTTGCAGTGTCAATTTTGCCACTGTGGAAATAGTTGAGTACAAAAGAGAAAAAAATCCAACTTCTCTGAATTTAAAGTCCCTTTGAACTGTGCTCTTATGCTTTATAGGTTAGTGGTTGTCACACAAAACAGAGTACGACAACAAAGAGCTCTATATTTTGAGGATTTCAGTGACTGGGGTGGTTTTGCAAGGGTGTTATGAAAAAATCAATGCAGTATCTCCCTTTTATTTGGAACAAACATATGTAACTCACGTGCCATGTAATTTCCTAAATGCATGGCCAAAGAATTGATATATGACCATTTTTTAAACTGTAGTTTTTAGTACCATCAACTACTCTGCATGTATATAGTGTAAGCAGTCAAGATGAAAGAAAATATTCTTTTTAGGTTGCTGTAAGGTACCAGGTGTAGACAGACCTGTTCAACTGGAAGTCACAACTCTGTGGCTGTCCTGTCATCCCTTATCTACATGCTGCCAGACTTCAGATCAATATCAACAGGATAGACATGGAGGAAAGGAATCACTGAAGTAGGGGTAGTGACAAAAGCAATATAATTAAATCTCTATTTTAATTTATAAATAAATGCACTGCTTTAAAGTGTGCTAACTGGATGGCAAAAAGAAATAAAGGTCATTTCATTCGTTGATAAGCTCAACTTCCCTAGACCAATCCTACTAGTGCTTTTCCACATTGATTTGGATGGACCATCTCTGCTGATGAGGAGAGATCTAGGGTCTTTGTCCTCTCTGCTCAAAGAGACAGTCATTGCCATCTGTCCTCTAAGAACTGGACTGAGACTACCAATACATAAGCCACTGAACAGTTGGCAAATGGTAACAACTTCCACCTCTGCCAACAATGACATGATTCAAGGGCTAGCTAGTATAGCAGTAATGAAAGGCAGATCCCTAAGCTATCCAGGGCTCTGTAGGGAATATAATGAAGAATTGCATGGAAATAAAGGAAATCCCACCTACCCTTTTTGGCTGTGTGTTTTCTGTGAAGAGAGAGTGCTTTGAGGCCATTATGTGTGGCTTTCTTAGTAAGTGAAGACACATGCCAAGTCTTTTTTTTTTTTTTTTGGCTTGTTTTAAAGATGTGGGGTATAATTCAGGGACATTCCTAGTCTTGTGCATTGTTATATTTATACCATCATTCATCCAATTTGTTATGGCATTTCACTTACAGTATTTTGTCTCTAAATCGTATTACCCAATTTTCCAAGCTGGTGTCAATATTATTTAATTCTAAATAAGGCTTAAAGCTCTTCTTTGCGGGGATGAACCACATAGACACCCCAAAAAGGATAAAACATGTAAGAAGTTGCATAGTACAGAGGAAAGAACATACCAAATAGCAAAACACATGAGTGGTTTTCTCACCATTTTTTCCATTGACTCTCAAAACAGCCCAATGTGGTAGGTATGACTTTCCATTTTACAGAGAGGTGAGGAAGTTCCCCTAGTTATATGAAAACATAATTTGGACATTACATAAAACTATGAAGATTTCTGGATCTAAATAAAGGAACCTAACAGAAATTATTGTACATTTCTTATTGCTTAAGAATAATACAAATGAGAAAAACCAACACATATTTTACTTTGATATAAATGCAATGTCAACTATTCAATTACTCCTAGAAAGTAACACACGTGAGTAATTCCTGTGGAAAAGCTTCCATTTTTTTTACAATGTGTAATTATAACAGCGACAATGACAATAACAGCAGATAATAATGAATGTGTATTGAATATGGAGCCCCTGATTATTATACTATTTATATGATATGTGTGACCTTCAACTTGAAAACGTCATGAAAAGTAGTTCACCTTGTGAACCAGAAAAGTAAAATTAGGAGAACTTGAACTAACTATGCTGAAGGGGGTTTCAATTATTTTTGTCTAAATAATTCCAACAGATCTTTACATGTTTAATTTTAGCTTAGTCAAATCTACAGAGGGCTGGGCTTGGTGGCTTGGCCTGTAATCCCAGCACTTTGGGAGGCTGGGCGAGTAGACTGCCTGAGCCCACAGGTTCGAGGCCAGCCCGGGCAACTTGGCAAGACCTCATCTCTACAATAAATAAAAAATTACCCAGGCGTGGTAGTGTGCACCTGTGGTTCTGGCTGCTTGGAAGGCTGAGGCAGAAGGATTGCCGGAGCCCAGCAGGTCAATGCTGGGGTGGCCATGAGCGTGCCACTGCCAGCCTGGGCGATGGAGTGAGACTCCAACTCAAACAAACAAAAAAAATCTACAGAGGTAGTCTTATTGCAGTAATTAGAGCTCCCTTATATGGCAACATAGTATACTTTTGAGAAGCTCTTTATATAGGGAACCAATTTAGCTAAAATTAATATATTTTCTCCAAAACTTTTATATTTTTAAAATGCACATTTTTCCTCATTTTAGCACCATCTAGGCCATAGAATTCTATTTACAAGATAAGGAATTACAGAAATTTAAACAAAAGTTGGGCACATAATGATTAATATATTTGAATGTCTGATTTGAGTTCCTAGATTCTTTCATAGAAAAATGCGAGATCCAAAAGGCAACGGAATCTGAAGGTCTCCTTTGTTCCTTTTCAGTAATTCCCAAACATTTGCCATGTGTCACATTTGAGCGTGTGTGTGCGTGTGTATGCGTGTGTGCCAGCGTGCATACCAACTTGGGTTCCGGGGATGAATGATTGAAGGATGACCTAAAACCTCCTGGTGTAAACAAATTTTTCATCATCCTGGTGTTCTAAGTATGGTAAAGTCTCATTTATTTATATGTCAGTGATTTGGAACGTCAATAATTGGGAAATAAGCCAGAGAAAGTTTTCCTCTCCATGATACATGAGAAAAGTTTTCGAGAACTGGATTGCAAGAAGACATTTAACCTATTTAGGAAATAGACTGACCTGCTGATACTTCAGCACTACCTATGTACATTTAGACAAAATTCATTTTACAGATTACAAATAATTCTCATTTATTTATGAAAGAAGATATTCTACAATATTCTGAGAATCATTAAATCATAGAGTTAGAAGGGAATTTTGAGGCACTTCAGCTCAGTGATTGCCAAGCCTGGCAAGTTTTCAGGATCATCAAAGGGGATTAGAAATTTTAGATTTTTGATGTAGATTCTCAGTTTCTAGTTGCTAGAGATTATGATTCATTGGGATGAGACCTTAAAAAAGCAATAATGCTTCACAGTGTTCTAGTAGATTCTAACGCACAACCAGACTCATGGCCACTGAATTGGTCCAGTTAACTACATAATGTAGAAAGTCTTTAAATAGTTTTTCATAAGCAATTATTCTTATCTGTTTGGAAATTTATAATAAAACGAACCTTAGTTTTTCAAATTCACTCTATTGTTCACAGCTATCAGGCATTTGCATTAGAGATATATATTTTTCTTATGCTGAGCTATCTTGGTCTAAAGAAAATACAGTGACTCATGGCTGTAATCCCGGCATTTTGGGAGACTGAGGTGGGAGGACTGCTAGAGCCAAGAGTTTGAGATCAGCTTAGGCAACATAGCAAGAACTCATTGCCTCACACCCGCAAAAAAATTAGTCAGGCATGGGCACATGCCTGTAGTCCCAGTTACTTGAGAGGCTGAGGTGGAAGGATCGTCTGAGCCCTGGAGGTAGAGGCCGTAGTGATCCGTGATTGTGACACTGCACTCCACCTGAGTGACAGATTAAGACTCTGATGAGAGAGGCAGAGAGAGAGAGAGAGAGAGAGAGAGAGAGAGAATATGCAGGTACCTGTCTCTATAGCATGTGGCACTTCAAATATTAGAAGACAGTTGTCCTACATCTTCTCTTCTTCATGTTGAAAATCTCCATTTGTTTTGGAAAAAGTGTCCTTCCTGGTCACCTCCTTTGAGTATATTCTAGACTGCCACTGTTCCTTTTAAAATGTGGAGGTCAGAATTGTACACAATATAACAAATGTAATATGCAATATGACGAACACTATTTTTCTTTTAAGGCTTTCTAACATTACAACAGTCTTTTAGCAGTCACAATGCAGTGATGGGTCCCTGTTCAGCTTCTAGCTGACTACAAATATAGATTTTTTTTTTAAAGCAGGTGTTTTTCAAGCCAAGTTTTTCCTATCTTATATTTCTTCTAGTGAAAATATTTGAAATAGCTCTATTTTTAACTTTTTTATGTCCTCTACTGATTTAGACATCTTGCTTTAATTTACTTATTATTTAGCAACTGTTAACTGAGTTTCTACTATGTTCCAGGTACTGTTCGAAGGACTGGAGATAATAATGGAAATGAGAGAAGTAAATTCCATGTTCTCCATGGAATTTAATTCCATCCTAGTGTGGACATTTATTGAAGCCATCATGATTTCTTTTTGTAAATTACAAAAAAAAAAAAAAAAAAAAATTAGACTAATGGGGCACATGTGAGGATTTGTTATATAAGTATATTTTGTGAAGGCTTCTAATGATTCTATCCCACCACCCCTGCTCCCTACCCAGTGGTGAGCATGGTACCTAATGGGTGGTTTTGTATCTCTTATTCCCCCTCCCTCCTGCCATCATGATTCTTGAAGCAGAATAGCCTAGTTGTAAAGGGTGTGGGTCTCAGCTAAGGCAAGACACCTGGTTTCAGCTCTTCTGAGATAAGTGAGTTTGGGCTAGGCTCTGGGCTCATACTTGCTCTAATCTGCAAAATAGAAATAACAATAGACCTAAGGCACAGGCTTCTTTAATTTTCAGGACTAAAAAAATAATATATACAAAGCACTTAAAAAGTGCTAAATAAATGCTAATTGTCACCATCATCATCATATTAAGCTACTCCCTTAGGTAATTTACAGGTCTAACAAGTGGGTGACCTATGTCCCCATCCAAGTTTTATTACTTAAAAATAAAAAACAGTTGTACTTTCATCGTCTAGGTATTTTAACTATCCTAGCCTTTTCTTTTTGAAATAATAAATCACTGGGATGTTTCTCTGTAATTCCTTACATAGGGTTTTTAGGAGCATATGGCCATT